AAATTTCAGTAAAACTAAAATTATTTAAATCTCAGTATTGCAAAACTCTTTTAAGTTTAAAAAATCAGTTTATTTATATTTCAGTTCATTTTAGCAGTCTGCAGACGTTAAAAAACAAACAGTCTTCTTCTTGCAGACTGTAGACTTTTGGTCCACCTCTTCTATTGTAGATACTTGCAGATGTGGTCCGCAGACTGCAGACTTTTTACCTCTGCAAAAACAAACACCACCTAAGTGAATTTTTAAAATTTTATGAAAATATAAATTTACGAAATTCAAGAAGAGATAAAAATATAAATAAAATATTTAAAGCATTTGATAATTTGACATTTTTAGCTGATCTCCGTCCACCCCAGTGGGAAGGAATAGTATTAAGGAATGGAACAGAAGGGCAGGCGTCAATGTAGTATAAGGGTGTGTTTGTTTGCCGTAAAATTAATTACAGAATTGGTTTTTCACGAAATTTTGTGTTTGTTTTATGTAATTCGTTTTTCGAAAAATATTTTTTCGTGTTTGTTTCACGTAATTCGTTTTACAGAAAATATTTTCCAGTATTTGTTTCACGTAATTCGTTTTCCGGAATGTAATTCATTTTCCTAGTAATAAAATTTACTTTATGTTTTCTGTAAAATGACTTACGGAAAATGAATCCGTAAGTCATTTTCTGAACTTTTCACTTCAAAGCAAAAATACTTAAAATAATGTTATTTTATGAATTTAATATTAATAAAATATTTTAATATCATTTTCATCAAAATATTTTTATTAAAATTTTAAAATATTTTTATTAATATTTATAATAATATAATATTATATTTTTAATATTATATAAAATAATCAATTATATTATATAATATAAGATATATATTTTTATTTTAATAATATATAATAAATTTTTTATATATTTAATAATGAATAATATTATTTATATATTTAAATAATATTTTAGTAAAGATATTTAAAATATACTAATTAATATTTTTAAAATATAATATAACACTATTACTTTAATAAATAATTAATATAATTTATAATATTTTATTTCACTAAAATATACCAATATTTTTATTTTTATTAATACAATTATAAAAATAATATTTAATAATAAATAAATTATTTTAATATTTTAAAATAATAATATTAAGTTTTATGATAAATAATATTATTTATTATATTTAATATTTGTAATAAATAATTTTTAAAAAACTATTCAACTAGTGAAAAAAATGTTTAAATAACATCTTCCAAACATCATAAAACGTTTTCCAAATGTTTTTTAGAAATGTAATTCATTTTTCAGAAATGTAATTCATTTTCAAAAAATGTAATTCATTTTTTTAAAATATAATTCATTTTTCAGAATTCAAATTTCATTAATTTATTTTCCAGTAATTTATTTTCTGAAAAATCAATTACAGTCAAACAAACAAACCCTAAATCATGGTAAATAGACAGGGGGTGGGGTCAGCTGTTGTGTGGTCCCAAACGAGGATGGGGTGGTAGGGAATATGTGGGGTTCTCGTGATTATTTAAGTTGCATCAAGTTATTAAAGTTCAATTACATATGAAATTTTTGAAATACAAATTAATTGAAAGGGGGAGGTGAGAAGTGGTTTCTGAAATCTTGTGGGTATGAGATATGGACAATTGGGGAAAAAGAAAAAGCGTGCCCTGACTCAGCCCAATATGAGAGAAGTTTCCTCTCTTATATAGGGGTATAACACCCGAAACTAATACGACACATAGTTGATCGATCAGAATGTCACAAGAAATCATAAGAGTAGCTAACACTTTTTTTAAAAATTTTCTTAAATAAAACGATTACTTGAAAATAGTCATGATACAATAAATCAACCACATTTATATAAAATACTTTACATCAGGAGCTCCAAAAATAATTAAATCAAAATATACTGATCAACTTTTAAAAATGAAGTTACGACTCGAATATACAAAAAAGGGGTCTACAAATATACATCCCCTATACTTTGCTCTGAATCTTGGTCTGGATCTTATTTACTCAAAAAGCTTATTGACTGCTCCTCCTACTAACCTGCTTAAGGAAACAAATTCCAAACACTGAACTTACTAGATCAGTGCTTACTAGATCAGTGCCACACTAACAATTAATCCATACTAAATGTGTTCTTTAAATGCTCAAGCTATTAGGGAACATGCAATAGTGAGTATACTCGTATACTACACTCTCTACTCTATGATAGACATCACGGTGCGGTTGAGGGTTCTGCATCTCGGAGCTCACTTATCCCTCTAGTTTACCGAGGATGAGGCCTGCAATCTCTACATCAGACACGACTAACCCACCCCTCGTGAGTGTTGGGCCTCTGCCCTAGTTAGTCAGTTTAAAGTACTTTGTGCACTACCTAAGGATATCATGACTGATTCTATTGCTCAATACTAGTACATTTACTAAAGCAACTCAGGTGTCCTAATCGTTTCCCGAGTATTAAATCAATGCTAGTTTTATGTCGCCCTAATTTATCTCGTTTCTAATTGTAATTAATCATTATTATTCTCACTTGTAGTCTTATTTGATAGCAAATTATAGAGTTCTTTGAAACCTCATCACATCTTAGCATCCCTTTGAATTAAAGGCCCAAAAATGCTAGTATCGATACCTAGCACCTCGGTATCGGTACTTACCATAGAGTATCGATACTCATCATTGGGTATCGATACTCCAAAGCAAATTTATGCTAAGAAACTAAGGGGTAGTATCTATACTCCCGAGTTATAGTATCGATACCGATTAGGGTATCAATACCAAAATAGCATTCTGGAATTTGATTTGTGATCCCGATATCGATACCACCCATGAGTATCGATACCAACCCTGTAGTATCGATACTCTATTAATTTAATGAGTATCGATACTCCCTTCTGAACCTAGGCAAATTTTACTTTGATTTAAAAATAGTACCGGTACTGTTCTTACAATATCGATGCCCTACTTGGGCTTGAAAATTACACTCAAATTCACTCATATTTCTAATTTGAGGTTTCCAAACATTATTAGTGTTTATGTGATCACAAATGGTCATAAATAAGGCTTTAAAACATGTTAAAAAACCTAAAACATGGAATCTACCATGAAAATGCTCAACATGATTTACACTCGATTTAAATAAGGCATTTTCATACGTGATTTTCAAAATTTAAATGTATATTACGTATGAAAAAAAATGTATAATGAAAAAATATATATGTATTATATATAGCTATAAAAAATTTAAATTGAAATCAAATAATATCGTATTATTATAAATATTTCCAATTAGATTTAAATAAAAACTCAAAAATCCAACTCAACTCGATTCGACTCGAATTTTATAAACTCCAAACTCTACTTGAAAAAAATTTCAAGTTAACTCCGAGTTATAAAATATGACTCGTCAACTCGAATAACTAAATATTTTTTCACTCGAATTGGTCGAATGCTCAAGAGCGATGGACCTAGGGGGAGTGCCTAAAAATCTAAAATTATCATATATTTTAGATTTTTTCTATGTATTTTCTATTAAAAATTTGTTTTTGCCACCCATAAAATTTTATAAGTTCAAGTTCATCCCCTCTAAAATTTTATAAGTTCAAGTTCACCCCCTAACTTAAAATCATGCGTCCGTCCCTGATGCTCACTCCTACTTTGAACTGTATTTCTTACAGGGTAAATTACATAAATGATCAATAAAATATGGTTAAATTTCTCTTTTCCCTATTAAATTTTAAAAAAATAACACAACAATCACTAATGTTATTGAAAAGTAATAAAAAGATCATTGTATCATTAAGTATGGTTATCCCTGTCACATAAAGCTGACTTGGTACATTTGGGGCGATGGTTGGTTCGTTTGACTCGTATACAACTCTTCATTTACCAAGTTGACTCGGTTGAGCGAGTTGGCTCAGTAGATTATCATTTAAACCCAGCTACCCTCCCCATCCTAATGCTAAATCGTATGCCTGTTTAGACTCTACAACCCTTGAATGGATAACCTCTTCTTGACATTCATAATTAAGTGTGGACGAAACAAAGATCAGAAGATGAAATAACGGGAAGAAACAAAACGACGCAGTAGCCAATTCCCCATTACTGCCAGCGAATACATTGATTCGATGACGATGGGGAGCGCATTTTATCTACGCCTTATAACATTTATGGATAAACCACTGGTTTGGTTTGGTGGGGGTCATGGATGGTCGGAAGCAGCTACCAAATCAAGGCAAACTCTGAATGTTGGGATCAAAGTTTGAAACTTTGTATAAAGAAAGCCGTGTTATTACAATTGAATAAATGTCAGTCCCCATTAAAACAGGATTGAGGTTCTAAATCAATAAACAATAATATATTTTTAACCGTTGGAGGTTCGAGTAGGTAAGAGTAAAGATCCCTGGATAATGTGGAAAAAAATAACAGTTTTTCTTCTCCCCATGGGGGCCTCCGGTGGCTTAGGGTATGACTAAAGAAGCCCGTCAATTAGATGAATCAAATCCGGACCTCTATGTAGCTATTTCTATTTAGGAGGCTTTCTCGAGTCGGTGCAGACTTGGATTATCTGAACCTTTAGTGACTTGGTTTTTGGAATCCAAGACGACTCCTTTGTTTTATATCTGATTTGGAATTTAAGTTAAACGAGTATTTGTATGTCATCCAAACGTTTTTTCCCCTTTAAAAAGGGCACTTTATTTCACCCCCTGTTTGATAATACACAAATCAACTCAGGCTAGGAAATTGATACTAAACTAAATACACTGCCAGATTTCAGGCTAACAAAGTGATTGCAGGACATTAGTTCATGAGGTGTGTGGTCAAATTGTCGAGACTTTCCGTGTAATAATCTTTAATTTGCTCGTAGATCCATCATCAAGATGTATGATAATAGGGATCTTCATATTAAATGCACCAAAATCACCCCACCAACACCTATGATATATGAACCAAATTTAATACATATTCCTTAACAAAAACTAAACATTTAAATAGACATAAATGATGATCAACCACTCTCTGCAATGCCATTCTTGGTGTTTGAAGCCGGGTACTTGATTGCATTCAGTTCAACTTTGCGCAGAGCAGCTTTCCCAAGATCAATGCCGCAGATATCGGACAGCCTTACGAGGTACAGCAGAACATCAGATAGTTCTTCACCCAGGTGAACTTTCTCTTCTTCTTTCCAATCGGGTAACCCTTTTGGGACCTCCCCTTTCCACTGAAATATCTCCGATAATTCTCCCACTTCTCCCACCTACATGAAATCATGAGTTTAATCCATTAATGTGAAACAAGAATCATTCATCTTTTAAACCTTTGTCCCCCACTTTACAGGGACAGTTTGTTTAAGTTTGACTCTGCAAGTTGATCTTTAAAAAAAATGACTCTGCAAGTTGAAAAAAGGCTTTCATACCCTAACTTGGAAATCAAGGAAAGTGCTAACGTGGTAAGAGAAGAACAGAAATAGAGTATCTTGCAGAGGCGCAAACCATGTCTTGCGATTTAGGGAAGAATCACAATGATTAATGATAAAGCAATTATCATATATATAAATATATGATAATCCAACTGGTTTAAGCTGTACTTTTGTTGGTCAAATCGTTATCTTCCCATATAGAAAACCAAAGAAACGAGTACAACAAACAATAATATATACACGTAGAAATGGAAACTATATATCTACTATTCAAAGACAAACTTAAAAGCCCAGAAATAGAAGGGCAGTCTTCTTCATGAAACTTCGTTTAAAGTACCCTAGACAAGCATACCAGGGCCAAGAGGAGATTTCTAGGGCTGTGGAACTGATCCCAGTCCCTTTCCTTGGCAAAGTTGGCCATTTTCAGCTTAAGAAGATCAAGGCTAACACTTTGATCACCTCCCTGAATCCCCCCAGCCATCTTTTTTTTATGAAAAAAAAAAGAGAAAGAAAAAGAAAACACGGATGCTGGAAAAAAGAAGGTAGAAGGAAAGAAGCAAAAGACGGATTTGATAAAGGGATAAAATTGAGAGAGACAAGAGCAAGTGCAGTTTTCTTGGAAAAGGGCTACAAAGCTTAATATATATAAAGGGAAAAAAAAGGACAGTGTGGGGGTGGGGAAGAAACCAAAGAACAAATGGATGTTTCACTGTGTAAAGGAGTTTGTGCATTTAATTCGCAACTTGTCTTTTTTTGCCCTTAATTTATAAATGTATACCTTTGCGTATGTAGAATGTATATTTTATGCTTGTACAATGTATAAAATACAGGACAACTTTAGTGGAGGGAGGGGGGAGGTGCAATGCTATATACCTATCTACGTACACCTACAGCCTATAAAATTCAACCTTGACATTTATGATACCACGTGTCAGTTGCCCATACGGATTCTCGCCTCGATCCTTGCGCAGGCCACTCTCATTTTGTAGGGCCGACATGCTCTTTTTCTTCATGGGCTTGTTTGTTTTGGCAAGAACTGCCGCTCGCCGGCACCGCGGCGGAGATGGTGAATTAGAATTTATGGTAAATGTCACGCTTAATACTTCAACTATTGCTTTTGTTCTGTTTCGGTAATTTAACTATTATTTTTGTTTAAATTATATATAACATTACGGTTTGATTTTATTTCGATCACTCATTGTTAAAAAAAAAACTATTGATATGATATTTTAAAAAAATTTCAAAAATGACTTGACATTATTTTATGATGACACATCAATATCATCGTTAATTTTTTAATTGTAAGTGACCAAAATAAAATCAAAACATAACATTAGATATGATTTTGAAATGAAAAATAATTAGCTGACCAAAAATAAAATAAAAATATAATTGATGTTCTAAATACTAAACATGTAATTTACCCTAAAATATATTACCATAAATTTAAAATCCCATATCCGATTACTTATTTAATCATTAAACCCCATCTCCTATTTCAAGAATGTAATCTAACTGTTAAAAGGGCCATTAGAAGTACTTGCACTATCCATGACTAAACTATTAAATAGATGAATGTTATCTTTAGGGTGTTTTTGGTTCACGGAATGTAAGATTATCAGTGGGAATGTAAGATTACCAGGGAATAGGATTACTGGGAATGTTGTATTTTGTGTTTGGTTGGTTTAACATGAATGTAAGATTACTGTGTTTGGTTAAAGGAATAAAAGATTATTGGAATGTATATTTGACAAAATTGTCCTTATTATATATTTATTTTTTAACAAGTTAGAGAATATTTATATAATATTTATATATTTTTTTAAAAAAATTAAATTCATAAAATTTATATATATTTTTTTACAAAATTGAAAATAGGAAAAAGTTTAATGAAAGGATAAAATTTTATTTGAACCCCTGAACTTCATATAAAATTTTAATTATAGACTTTTTTATAAATCTAAAATATTTTAAGGATAAATTTGTAATTTAACCTTCGTATAATTTTTATTATTCAATGACAGAAGAATGATATTTTTTAAAGAAAAAAAAATTAAGGGTATTTTAGTTCAAAACGCCGGTAATCCAATAATACCTAAGGAAAGGGAGGTAATGACATTCCCGGTAATATACCCAAAAAAATCTACTATTAGTAATAAAATATTACCGGGAATGAGATTTCCGGCCAACCAAACATGAGGATGTAGATTCCATTCCCATGGGAATCCCACATTCCTTGATTCAAACACCCCCTTAGATGTTACAAGTTCAAGTACTAATTATTATATAGGGAATTTAAATATTTATTGCTAAATGATTGAAAATATCTATAATATATATTACCACTTACAATCGCCCTAGATTAATTAAAAAAGGTGTATGTATTATAGTTGAAAATTTTATCTTAGTCCATTTATTAAATAGAAAAGAGCAAATTATAAATTATAAACTATTAAACTTTGTTCATTGACACGTTTATACTATTAAACTTATAATTTTATCAATTATAATATTAAATTTTAATTTTATATTTAAGTCGATAATATAACTAACTATTGTTGATTTGACATATCACATCAAAACAACATCATTAAATCAGATAACATGGCCGGCGTGTAGCACCATTATAAAACGTCAAATGTAAGTCTCTATTCAAACCAGAAGGAATAAACCACTATAACAACCGTGATAGCACAAATGTTACCATCAATACTACTTTAACTTAATCTGAGGGCAATTTGAGTGGGTGCTCCCACGTGTTAATTTAAAGGTGAGTTTCCATTTACACCAATGGGCAATGGGTGAAGTGAAGAGAAAAAGGAAGAGCAATAGAGTAGCAAGTACAACATGCGATGATATTTACGAGTACGTAAAGGATATTGAGCTTGGAATATGTTTATTATATATTTCTTGTAATGGAAAACCCACGTCTCTTGAAATTGCAAGCTGATATGATGCCAACTAAGTTCAGATAAAAATATCAAGATTTAAAAACAAAAACCCATAAACTCACATTTATATTCCTAATTATAATTAAAAAATTATCATATTCAAATCTATGGGTAAATTATACGGTTACTCACTGAACGTTAATCTCTTTCTTATTTCATTCTTCGTACTTTTAATTTTTTTAAATTACTCACTTAACTTTAATATTAAATTTTTTTACCACTCGACCTTTTATTTATCAACACTATCGTGACCTGACTTTTTTTATTAATTTCTTAATCAATTAATATTTTATTAATATTTTTTATATATTTTTTATTACCCCGCCCCAATCTTCTCTCCAACTTCTTCTCGTCTTCCTTCTAATCTCTCCGTCATTTTCCCTTCTCCATTTTCCCAGTAACCAAACATATCAAGATTTAAAAACAAAAACCCATAAACGCATCCCAAATTTGGTGACTCCCGTACAGGGTTCTAAAAAACGATCCGCGACCATGATTTCGGTCGTAATATAGCGGTTTCGTCGCCGTCTGAGTTATCCGCGACGGCCGTAATAGGGTCCGCGACGACCGCAATAGCGCCCGTGACGGCCATAATCACGGTAAATTCGAAATAACCGAAAACAAGACCGCGATTTGAAATCCTCCTCCCGTATTTCACGATCTAAAAAAAAACTGTGACAACTAACCCAATAAAAAGCTGTTCAAATTTTGAGTTGCTCCTAAACATTAAACTTAATCAAAATTATCTCTGTTTCGTCCACAAAAGATCCGAAAATGCCTGCTTTAATTCAACAGGTTATGCAAATTTCAATCACCGGGGCAGTAAATGTAACAAATTCAAATCAATCTTTCAGTTAATATAATTATTGAACGAAAGAATAATAAAAAAAAATTGAATCAAAACAATCAAAGACTTCTAGAAAAGAAAACCACCACAGATCAAGACTAATCCTCACGGAGAAAAAGAAGTCAAACATGGAAAAATAATCTCCATAAGAGCAATATTTCTCTTTATCACTAAGGGACACTCACAAATTCATATTTCTCTTTGTTGAGTCCCTCGACTATTAAAAATTATTAAATGGTTTATTGACTATAAGATATTATTTTGTTGAGTCCCTAGACTATTATAAGTTACAAAATGATCAACCGACTATTCATATATTCCGAACTCGTCATTTTCTAATAAAAATTAACAGCTATTTGGGTTTGACGTTAACCTACTGACAATGATATGACAGATAAAATATGATCTCAAAATCTTAAAAGACTATCATATCCCACTTAACAGGTTAACGTTCAGCTCGGTCTACCACCAATTTTTTAATTAAAAAGGAGGAGTTAGAAACAAATCAATAGTCAGGTAACTATTTTGTATCTCTTAATAGTAACAAGATTTAATAAAATAACGCTCTATAACCGGAACCATTTGCATATTTTACTTAATTTTTAAACTTACAGTGAAATGTTTCATCGAAATTGAAGTCATTTGATTGATGGGTAATGGGTTTCCAACCCAGCTTTAAGTAATATATAATAATACATATCTGAGTTTTATATTGTTAAGCTGAAACGCATGTGAATTTTGAATCATTAAATGTGTACGCTTCAGCTGTCTATTTTTCAATTGTTATAAAATTGAGGTATTTTTAATGACTAAATCCCAGCCGTTTTGATAGAAACACAATCCCTAAACCCATAAAAAATGATAATGATTATCTGCAATCATCAACTTGTACTTGTAATATTAAGGTTTGCAAGCATTAAAGATTTGAGGTGCTAACCTACTACAGGGCAATTCCACAGATCTGGGCTGACTTCTCCCCAAGTTTCCCCTCTACTTATCCATATATAAAAATACCCACGAGAATTCCTTGGCGTATAAATAACTAATCAAACTATTGATATATTAATATCTTTTAAATATTGATCAATACTAAACTAAATTCGAAGCTCTTTCATTTCTCTTATGAAACAGAAATGTTGTGAAAGTAGAGAGGGAAGTAATAGGGGCAAAGGAGAGTGAGGATTGGGTTTGGAAAATGTCATGTCGATGACGTGGACACCATGCACCGTTGCTTCAATTAATTTAATCACTCGAGACTTATTGTAATGATAATGGTTCGGATCAATTGATTTTTATTTAAAAGTTTACATATTTAGACGTCGTACATTTAGTATTTCGGGACAGTTTAGATGTTTTGGAGTTCACACTTTTAGTTGCGAGTACAGATCCGATTGTAAAGTTTGAGACAAGCAAACATTTAAACGCGGTTATGTTTAATATTTCACATGCTCACCACTTTTGTTTCAAAAAGTCTGTTTCTAAAGCGGGCCTCACAAAATTACCCAAAATAAGTACAAAGAAAACCTATCTGAAAACGATATAACAGACCGAAAGTGAGCTTTCTTTTAATCCAGTCAGAAGCCATGTTCAAAGGCATGTTTGGGGGTAATTTTCCAAAATATTTCCTTTGCTTTTTTCCTTTTTCCAAAATATTACATCTTTGTTTTTATTTTTCAGAATATAACAAAGCTACAGTGATTTTAAAACTGGATTGAAAGCACGGTGTCTTCACTGTTCAAAATAAAATTTTGAATTAAAAAATTGAAAGTGGCACGAATTCTTAGCGTATTCACTGTTCACGAATATTTTGAATTAAAATATTTGGGAAGGCATGAGTACATGGCGTCTTCGCTGTAGCTTTTTTTCCCCTCATTGTTTACAATTTCAAATTTGATGCACATTGCAGGATGGTAGAGGCGCAGGCAACGCAGGGAGAGGGGTAGTAGTAACAATATTGTTTACAATTTCAAATTCAACCTTTTCGAGTAATTTTGCTACCTCTCTCCGTTTCATTATTGTTTGTAAAACAGTTGGAGTGTGGGATTTTCCCGCGAATACCCAACAGTAGAAGAATACCTAACCTTGCCGCCAAGCCTTCTTCTGCTCTCCATGTCCCTTAAGCTTCGCCATTGTCATCCACAACCCACGTCTATCAAGGCAAACAATCCCTTACCTTTGCTTCCCATTCTCTTCCTTCTCAAGCAAAAAGCCACCCTTTTTTTCTCCCAATATATCATCACCCTCAACCATGCCATTGCCAATCACCATCTCCAAACCTTGTTTACTCGCTTATTTTCCTTCCTATTTCAGCTTTTTCATTGACGAAAATGGAGTCTCAAGAACCCAATGTTACGAAGTCCCCTCTGATGTACTTGAACCGGGTGCCGGTGAAAACCATATTGGAAGGTAGTGATGCCGAGCCGGGGTTCGTCGGCACGACGGTGGTGGTTGGTGGGTGGGTTAAAGTTTCCAAGGAGGTGAAGGAGGTTATGCCACAGCCTCCACCAACATCGCCGCCGATGGCATCCGATGCTCGCCCTTCTCCTCCTCATCCTCCGGGGACTAAAGATGTTAGCTGCGTGGAAGTTCTTCAATCTCGAATCCCCTTTTTCACGACCATTATCAGGGTTTTGGGTGGCTCTACTAGTTCCCCAGCTGTTCGACAAAAGTTGGAGTCTTTGATTCCTAAACCACCTCCTCCTTCCATTTTCTTTTTACAAATCAATGATGGCTCTAGTGTTTCAAACCTGACGGTAAATCCTCAAATCCTTTTTTTCTCCGTTTCTTTAAAGTGATTACATAGATTGCTTGATGATCAAGAAAGTTCCTAATACACATTGAGAATTTCTCAGGTCGTGATAGATTCAGCCACAGTTCCAGTGTCCGCAGGCCAAATTCTACCAACTGGAACGTGTGTGTTAGTCCACGGTGTTTTGGAAAAACCATCGGCACATGGAAAACAAACCATTGAGCTTAAAGTAGAGAAAATTCTTCATGTTGGGACGGTAGAGCAAGATAAGTATCCTTTGTCAAGGAAAAGATTACCCCTTGATTCTTTGAGGGATTATCCCCATATTCGTCCTAGGACAACCACGGTATTCCTTGCATACATAGCTGGGTTTTTTTCTGGACATTTCGTCTTAAAGAACAGAAAACCCTTAAAAAGTGAACCTCATATACTCTTTGAATGCTATGTTTTATGTTGCAGGTGGCATCTGTTACACGAATCCGCAGCGGCCTAGATTTCGCGACCCACACATTCTTCCAGAACCATGGTTTTTTACATGTGCATGTGCCGATTATCACAACTACGGATTCAGAAGGGTTCAGTGAAAAGTTTCAGGTCACAACTCTTCTCAGAGAAACAAGCAAGAAGGAGGCGTCGATCGGTGTTAGTGATGCCGACGGTGTTAGCTTGGAAACTGTTGAGGCTGCTGTGAAGAAGAAATCAAGTATAGTTGAAGAACTCAAGAGAAGTGACAGCAATAGAGAAGCACTTGCTGCTGCTCTTCAGGACCTGAGAAAAACAAATGAATTAGCACAACAGGTTGATTCAAGAGAAAAGTCCAAAGCAGTAACTGCTGTGAAGCCTGATTTAGTGAACTTCAATGAGGATTTCTTCGGTCGGCAGAGCTATTTAACTGTTTCTGGCCGCCTTCATCTGGAGAGCTACGCATGTGCTCTCGGACGTGTTTACTCATTCGGACCCAGATTTCACGCCGATAAAACAGTGTCCGCCAAGCATGTGGCTGAAATGTGGACAGTCGAGGCCGAAATGGCTTTTTCACAACTAGAGGTAAGCCTTTGCATCTTCAAGGTTCAACCATCTTAATTGTTCAGATATTAATATCACATTGATATCTTTGATTGGAGTTTCCAGGATGTCATGAAATGTGCAGAGGACTATTTCAAGTTTCTATGCAGATGGATATTGGATAACTGTTCAGAAGACATGACGTTCGTCTCGAAAAGGATCGACAAGACTGTTGTCCATCGCCTTGAATATATGGATTCGAGTTTTTATGACAAGATTCCCTATAGAGAAGCAGTGGAAATTTTGAGAAAGGTAAAACTGGGTGTCCCTATACGATAGCCAAGCCTACATATCAACCATTTCCAGTCTGAAAAATAAGTCTTTCATTCTTGGACAACAGGTCACAGATAAGGCATTTGAAACACAAATTCAGTGGGGTGTCCCTTTGACAGATGAACATCTAAGGCATGTATAACTGAATGCAAATCGTTCCTCGATTAGTGTGGTTCTTACCAATTACCATGTCCATTTATTCTGTGACAGCTACTTGGCTGATGAACACTATAGGAGGCCTGTAATTGTTTATGATTATCCGAAAGCGGTTAAGCCATTTTATGTACGCTTGAATGACGATGGAAAAACAGTTGCAGCATTCGAGATGGTTGTACCCAAGGTAAATCTCCCAGCATCAAAGTGCTGTGGTGCTTTAGAACAGTTAAAAAGCTTAATAATCAATTGTATGCAGATCGGAACAGTGGTTACAGGCAGCCAAAACGAAGAGAGGTTTGACATTCTAAATACCAGGTATAATGCCGTCCCTGCCATGTTTCATAGACACAATTATTTCCCCATTGATGCAAAGACAATTTTTCATTGTCTGCAATGGCTTCCTGGATTCAGGATCAAGGAATTCGACTTGTCAAAAGATCAGTATGAATGGTACTTGGATCTCCGCCGGCATGGAACCGTCAAGCACTCTGGATTTAGCCTAGGGTTCGACCTGATGGTTCTCCTTGCCACTGGCTTAACCGATGTCCGAGATGTAATTCCCTTTATCAGAAGTCATGGAAAAACCAACAACTAAGGGAGAGCGTTGAAGTTCATAAAAAATAGTTTCATCTTGCCTGTGTTTCGGATAAAGATGAACTTCTGTAAACTGAAAGACTATGTATGCAACATACGAATAATATATAATTATTGTTGATACAAAGTACAGAGTTAAAATATTACTAAAGGATTTAGTTACTAAAAATTAAAATACTATTTAAAACATATTTTATAATGTTTAATTATTTAAAATAATTATATCAAAATTTAATTACTATAAATTAACAAAGAATAATTTTAATGGAACGTCAACTGAACCGAAATTCTTAGAATAAAGTAATTATTCTGAGATAAAGATTAATCTTTTTGTAACTTGTGTAATAAAATGAAGTAGAACCATCAACTGAACCGAATAAAGTCAAGACTAGTTCCAAGTAATAATAAATGTACATGGATCGAACTAAACAAATTGAACCATACGCTGGATCAGTCCTAAAAATATGCCCCAAAAAAATTAAATTATGAAACACTCATCAAATCATACCACCTAATATTTAATTTAAATCCATTGGTTCAACAGGCAAACCTAAAGCATTGCCCACCCCTATTGTCGCCCTGCTAATGGCAATCTAAAAGTTACATTCTAGTACCATCAACAAATATTTACAGTTGTAGAGAAAGCACAACACACCTGCCTCGAATGTCGTCATATATGTATGCGCAAGGTTGCTTCAGGGTTTCCGCAACGCAGATGCTGCACCCATGACAACAGCCAAGATGATACCCACACCAGCACCGAACGAGGCGCCTACAGCAGCCGATGTAAGAGAGGATGATGCCTTGGCTTGAGAATCCTTCTTCCCATCTATTGTGCCCATAGCGTGGTCTTGTGCCAACTCCACTGAAAGCCTATCTCTAACAAGTTCCTGCAATTTGATAAGAAACAAGAAACTCAATTTATTCATCATCATATGATCTTCATGAAAAGGAACCAGAAACCAAAATATGTGGTACACTATAGCCATATCGTGTATAACAAATAACTAGGCACCAGTAAGTTGACTTTTATGTTTCCGGTATGCTCGAACAATGTGGCCAATAACAGTAATTCAAAATTCATCCTATAGATATTATTATAAAATGCATATGGGTGGATATATCCTAGGAATTCCCTTGTAAACATTAGCTAAAAAAAAGAATTGGGTCATATCATGATATGTCATGTTATATCTCCACAAATGTGCATCAACTAGATTATGACGAGTAAGGAAAGAGACTTTGAAAAACTCGTGAACATAATCAGGTGGCATTGAATCTATTCCCAGACATTGATACTAATCTGTCTGGTTAGAAGTATGAGGGCAGCAGATTCATGAAGCAAATAGATCCTCATATTGTATGAATGGAATATGTTTTTTCTTAAGAAACTAACCATGTTCGCAATGGTCTTCCAACGGATTCAGTTAGACACAGAAATAGTCAATATTCAAGGCAAATGTACCACATGAAATTTTCAATTTCAATCACTAGTAATTTTACTTTGATATTTCTTCACTCTTTTTCAGCTAGTTTTTCGATAATTAAACACATCTAACTCTGTAAAAAGGATATTTCTTTATAAACTCTCCAAAGCCCGCAGATAAGGAACTCACTAGTAGCTAACATATTAGAAGCCATTTATAATCTATAATTGTACCTCGAGGGAAGCCTCTTCATGGCTCCGAAGAACACGGTGGACAAGATGGCAGAGAGAATTAACCCGCTCCACAGGAAAAACAGTATCTTTCCTTTGGAAAGGCCGGCGAACAAGGTTGATAGGAGCAGATAGAAGCTTCTGAACACCCATTCTCCCATTAGAATCTTCACTAGTTATAACACCCCAAGGCAATGAAGCACTAGCAGCACCAGGCATGACATATGGGCAAGAATTGATAACTTCAGTGGTGCTTGGAGTTGCTTGATAAGCCTGAACAACTGTATTAATTGCAGCCAACTGTTGATGTGCACTAACAGAAAATTTGTTTGTTATTGCAAGCACCCAAGGTATCCCAAGAGCTTTTGCCTCGTCTAATAGTAGTGAAAGGGCTGGGTATTGCCGTGATGCATCTGGATGATTGTACTGAGGTATCTTATGGGATAAGTTATGCACAAGAACAATTAAATCAGTCTTCCAACTAAGGTCACGGATTCCCCTCCATAATTCATCTTTGAAACGAGAAGCTTCCACGGCCAGCTCCTACCACATACAGGAAAAAAAACAGGTAAATAAATTAGTGAAATTTCTTTTAAGAACCAAAAGATGAATAGTAGTGTATATATATATATATTTCTATAAGTTCATATGATATTTAATAAAGCTTAAAACTACATATTGGTTTCCACTGCTAAGACTCTTGTTGGCACTAAAAGATTTCAAGCTTATATTCGATATTTTTTTAGAAAATGTTCAATTGCAGTTCACCCAAGCTCCACAATAAATCAAGGAAAGGAAGCCCAGATAATATGAAAGATAATATTTGCTATCCCACGGAAAAGCATTATTGTGCTGGAGAACTTCACAAACTTATTCAAACAAAAATAAATCTGTATTGCACAGAAAAGTGGCCAAAGGAAAAAAGAAATATTGACATAAAAGGCAATGAATCTTCAGCCAGCTGGCATACAACATTGAATCATAAAAGTTACAATGATATTCCTTAGACTCGAAAAACATACCTGTAAATTTACTCCCGGTGAATCAGTGTAACATAAACCGCCAGCAATACCTTCCCTAAAATCAGCTTCTACTTGTAGATTTTCAATATTGGCAATAGTGGTCAATTTTCCTTGACCAAGTATTGCCTTGAAAAGAGATGTCTTACCAGCACCCTAGTAACCCATAAATAAAATATTCAATAATGTTTGTACCAAGGAAAAAAAACCAAGCCAACATTCATAAAAAGTAGAAAACAAAAGCACAAAATTTACAAGTTGGAAGTGAAATAAGAATACCTCTAGACCAAGAAGTCGCACCCTACGAGTTCTAACATGAACCTCCTTCGATGCTGTGGTAAAATCACTGGTACAGAATATGAAAAAATCAGTCAAACCTTCTGGCCTTAAGTATTTTTCTTGGTGAGATGATGCCAAGTTATGTTCATTATTGAGGTTAGCAGTGTCTGCTACTATCTGATGTTTAGGAGGTTGCCTCAAGGGAGCCCCTACTAAGACTCTTATTTTTTGTAATTCTGATGGTTCCCCATTCCCAGATGAGTAAGCTGGTGCTGAAGGAAATGATTCCACAGTAGTTGAACACCTGAATATGAACCAATATCATATCAAACTGCTTATCATGCACCAAGGAGAGAGAAAGAGAGATTAGTGCAACTTTGAGCATAAAAAATGTAGGCCAGACATGACAGTATTTTTACATGCATTTGTTTGAATCTCACACTTCCAGAAAAGTGATTCAGCATGTATTATTTTGCTAAATTTATATAAAAAATGTAAACCTAACACCATATTGCATGGACATAAAGATTATATTATACAAAAATAGAAACAAGAAAATGACACAAATAAGTCCAACCATACCATTTGCCATTCACTTGAGCATGAAATAGTGTGCAAAGATGCAACCTGAACCCAGTAATATCAACTTTCAATGGTTCTGCATTCTTCTCTTCAGGAATACCATTCCATCCAAGAGGCACGATCGAAGTAGCAGTACGGATAGTAGGACTTTCAACAATATGCCCAAGCTCTACAGCACCTGCAACTGCAAGGCCAAGCCATTGCTGCAAATGTGGAAACTGTTGCAATTGCTCCATTCCAAGGAAAGATGAAGCATTATCATTCATGCACAGGTCATATATTCTGCAAAAAGGAGTATAAAGTGAATCACTTATTTATGCAATCCACTAACAGAGGTGCCTCAAGAGAAATTATTCGACTGAAAATCCCAAACAAGGATACACTTTAACTCCATGAAATACTCGATAAAATAAACGTTCCAAAAGTTTCACCACAATGTCTTATGCCACATGTGAGATAACATCACTTGACACTTCCCCTCATATTTGACTCAACAAGAGCCTACATGTGGACAACCTCACAACGGGTGTCAATACCATACAGGACTAGGCAGGAATAACATAACACACCTGGCCTCTTATACAATGTTAGCATTTAACCTAAAATTAATAGGTAATAGGTGGAAGGAATCAGATTGACTATAGGACCATGGGGAACCCAAGACTTAATAGATGTGGGATAACCCAACTTAATACCGTTGATGGACTAGGAAGCCACAATGTTTGAGTTCATCAACAGTTGATATGTTTGTATCTTCAATTTGTTTAGAATATGGTCTCTATTTGGTCACTTTACTGTAACTGGCAGCTGTACTGTGTATAAGTTGTTGTGCTTTTGTCATTAAGAATTGACCAAAGGATAATAAAAACAGGTGAAACATAAAGACCAATTCTGCAATGCAAGGAATAAAGATGCTAGCTGATCAAAAAGAAGAAAAAGAAATGCAACGTTGCAACTAGAATTTAGAACTAAAAAATTAAATAAACAGTAGCATGAATTAACACTATTTCAAAATTTATTACTACCTTTGAAATCGAGACCTATATGACTTCATTGAATGAGATTGAAATCTCTCCCTTAATTCAACAATCACAGATCTGACCTGAACATATCTTTGCCAGAAGAAAGCAGACAAAATGAGAGGCTGGAAGAAATAATCCCATGCTCATAAATACCAAGGTTTCATTAAGAAGACTAGACAGATGCATTATAAACAAAGGAAACTCATACCGATGTCAACTTTGAGTACTCTGCACCTGAGAGCAATTCCACTGATGAATTCTCCAAGAGATAAAGCTGTTATATGTGAATTTATTAATAAGTAATTCAGTTGTATAAATAATTGAAATGATAACATGAAAAGCTTCAGTTTGTCGCAACCATTAAGCATTGTAACATTAGGAGAACAGAATAGGATGATGCCATATCTCATTTTTCCAATTTGAGTGACAGATGACAATAGTTGCGACTTTCAGGAAAGGTAACAAAATTCCCAAAGATGTTTCACTTAGG